TCTCTTAATGAGATTGTCAAAAAAAAATATATTCCTTCTTCTAGTTAATGTTGATTGCTTATTCTTCCAGCCATCCATTCATTCATCGTCCTGTCAATTCTGTATCTTGCGTTATTTAATGCCTCCATGTCAGGCAAGCATTTACGTTCGTTTATGTTTCCCATGCTTTTGGAAACACCCGCTCAAGTATTCATCAGGATGCACTCAGCAATCAACATAAGGTGCTATTACCTGGTGATATATATCTAGGTGAATATAGAAATAGATATATATCTGTATAATGATATAGATAGTGATATGTGTGTGTTGGTATTTAGATAGTGATAAGTACATGCAAACACACAATCAGATACATGTATAAATCAAATCCGTAATATAGCTGATTGAAACAATTGGATAGAGTATATTTTTAATATAAAGTAAACTAATCATCAAAATTTGTAACTAAAAACTTAGTTAATGATTTCAAAATCTAGAAGCCACTTTTCTGTTTACAAGATCACGTCTGATGAAGAATAGTAACTTGCCACTAGGAAATTTCAAATTGTTAAGGCACATTTCTTCATTAAGTTTCATTTTTGTTTTACAGAAATTTTTTTAGCTTTCAACAGAGAAACAAAGAAAAGTTTAATAAAATTAATAAAAATAATTCTCTTTTGTCAGTTCTACCAACCAATTTAATAAATTAAACTCATATTTTTTTCTGATTAGCCAAAGTAACTTTTCATCGTCTTTTGAATTTTTTTTAGCCAGCTTCCTTCTTCACACAAAGTAGTAAGAAAAGTATTTTTTAATATTTATTAATATTATTTAAATTTATTATTTATAATTATTTTGTATTTAAAATACTATAAAAAATGATAACGAACATCTTTCATCACATATCACGATTTATCAGAATGACACAAACATATGATTTTGAGATAACGTCAAATTGAAGAGTTTTGAAAAAACTTAAAAACATTTATTAAATTGAAAAAATGTTGAAATTATTTTTCGTAGTAATTCCGCTTTACAAAAATGTTGGATAGTCGGTCTTCATGTTTTATCATTTGCAAATGCTTTTGCTGTGATAATAATGATGACGATGATGATGACTGTGATGATGACGACGATGATGATGGCGATGATGATGTTGATGATTATGAATAAAGATAATGATGTTGGTGGTGGGGCTAGTATGGTTTTCGATTACGATGATTTCAAAATTAAAAAATATTTTGTGTTTCCTTTGAAAGATGATATCATTGGGTTTTCAAAGCGTTCATTTTGGTCGCACGTAAACATGCAACCTTTGAGCCGGTCACATCTGAGTGGAACCCACCAAAAAATTATCACATACTTATCAGCAAGATGGTTAAAAATAATTGTAACGATATATACGTATTTGCTGAATGTCAAAACTCCGCTTTCTTTTCTGCCATTCAAAATGTTTTTTTTCATTTTGTAATTAACACTTCTTCAAAACTCAACGAACGAATTTTAAAATTCTATGAAAAATGGTTTTACACAAGACTTTTTATTTTCAAACGCAATATTTTAAACCCGCATTAAAAAACTTAAAAATAAGAACAAAAAAGTATCAAAAGTTTCAACAGGTTTTTCTTAAACTGTTTGTAAATCGCGAAAATAAAATCCAACAGCAGAGATGCCAAAGGTAGGAGCTAAATCATATTTTTATCTGCAAGAAATTTTCATTGAGCTGTCAAGTTAGGTGCGAAGATCATTATGGAATCGCCTGCTAACTCAATTTATTGAAGTACCAACAAACAGTGATTTACGACACACACACACACACAAACACACATACACACACACACATACACATACATACACACACACACACATGCAAATACACATACATACATGCATACTCATTGACAAACACTCACAAAGATACATCGATACATGCAACGTACATACAAATGCACACATGAAAATACTTGAATCCATACAAATTTTCACATATAAAAATGCACATACATACAAACACACACTTACACAAAAAGAACCTTCACACTTTTAACCATAAAATGATACAAAATTGTACACCAGTCTGTTTATCTTTTCATGCATTCATACCAACATTTATGCGTCAATCAATCAATCACTATTTCAAACAATCAACTTTTTTATTTATCTATCAATTCTGTTTCTCATTTTCTTATCTTCTCTTTCTCTCTCTATTTCTTTCTTTTTTCTGTTTGTTTCTCTCTCTCTCTCTTTCTGCTTTTTTCAACAGATTTTATATATAAATATACACACGAAATTAACAGCATAAAAGTATAAAAAAAGAACAGACAAAATAAAAAAATAGTGCAGCAACAACAACAACATCAACAACAACATCAACATGAACAACAACCGCAACAACAACATCAACCACAACAACATCAACAACAACATCAACCACAACAACATCAACCACAACAGCATCAATAACAACATTAACAACAACATCAACAACAACAACAACATCAACAACAACAGCAACAACAACATCAACAACAACAGCAACAACAACAACAACATCAACAACAGCATCAACCACGACAACAATTGATTCAGCACAATAAAAAATCATCTGAATTGATTAGAAGAATGAGCAAATATTTTTTCTAACAATCATCAATCAAAGTAATGTAAGCATTTAGTTATCTATCAGTATATGTGTGTGTTGTGTGTTTGTTGTGTGTGTGTGTTTGATTGTTGGTGCGTGTGTGTGTGTGCGTGTTTATGTTTGTGTATGTGTGTGTTTGAATTCTGCTTGTAATATCTGTTTAACTACGTAAATTAATTTTTTGTGTGCGTGCAAAAAATAGAAACAGGCTCCAATCTAAGAAATTATTTCAAAACTACGTTTTTTTGTTTCAACAGATGTGAAAAAAGCAGTTTATTTTGTGAGAAAAATTTTTCTACAAATTTGCATAAACACATATGCATTTATAGAACAAAATTGATGACAAAATCTGTGTTTGTAGAATGCTAAATTTATAAAAATTGAAAATAATTTTGCTATTACATTTGATATATTTCATAATTTTTATATTATTGTTTGTTTTCATAGTTTATTTTTAATATTTCATTTTATTTTATTTTTCGAACCAACGAAACACAAAACAGAAGAGAAAAAAGCAAAGCAATTTACACTGTATGCTATGTTACCTCGTTCAGCAACATGCTATTTGTCAAATAGACAGTCGAGGTCTGTGGTTGAGTCTGCTGTGATGATTTTGTTGTGTCAGTTTTTTTTTTCTTTCCTATGCAAATATTTCAGATGTTTGTTCTGTTCTTGAAGTAAGAATGTGTGTGTGATTGTGAATTTTTGTAGATGGATATCATTAAATGGATTGTCTTATAGAGTTTTGAACATGCATGCGTGTGTCTAGATTTCGTTTAATCTCGTTTAAAATGAAATTGAAATCATAGAAATGTCAGTATGTCTAATTTTTATTATGTGCTTCTTTAAAACAAAACGCAATAAAAAAGAGGATTAAAATTAGAAATGCATGAATTGTTAAGCAATCATTGAAATAAATGGCCCAGAAAAATTAAAGTGCGATTTCATCGTCGTCTGTCCACTTCGCCATTCAGCGCTATCATTTGTTAATGCCAACAATTTAATCTGCTTTTATTCTCTGCTGTTACGGTAGAATATTTTGATTTAGAAGATCGTCGGTGCCTCTAGCGATATAGTTGTTGCTACTTGATTGTTGTTGTCAATGTTATCAAAATTGTCATCAACTTTCACTCTTTCTGTCGGTATATTACTTGCCATTTTTTTCCTCAATGATCATCATATCAACATAACATCAAAAACAAAACACCACCATCATCACCACCAAAATTATCATCATCACCACCATCATCATCATCGCTAACAACAACAACAAAAGTATAATGGTCAGATGTCCAGATGTTAAATCAATTGAACATAATCGGATTATTGAACTTTATCGTCGCGTGGTCAGTGCAGCGTATGATTTATGATGATGACCAACAGGCCGGTCATCCTCCTCATCACATCAATCAACATCATGATCGTTATTGTTGTGGTTATTTATTCTTTCTCGTTGTTGCCATATCATCTGTGTCATCATCTGTGTCATCATCTGTGTTATCATCATCATCCTCGGTGTTATTCTTTCTCGTTGTTATCATACCATTTGTGTAACTTTGGTGAAAAATTTTAATAATTCTATATCAATATTATAAATTGTACTTGATTAAAAATGTCAAAATATAATATATCAGCTATTTTAACAAATTGTTTTTTTAATATTTCCCAAAGGTAAAAGCAAGCAACAAACACAGATAAAAGAAACAAAAATTGACAAACCAACTCACTGCTGACATTGCGTGTGATAGGAGAGGATCTTTTTGCATTCGAATCTGGTCACAACAACCTCAATGTCGAGCACCTTAACCATTACACTATCGTACCACGCATTATCATACAAACTTATACAACGGGTATGTAACTATTTTCATTTTGACTTAACCTTGGTCTAAAGCAGGTTACCCATAAAAACGTTATAAGGAACTGGCGTAGAAATACGTATAAAATGCGTATTTGGATATTTCATTATTTGAATAATGAAATATCCAAATACTATGCGTTTGGGTCTATAATTGTCAAAGAACTTTTATAATTAAAATAAAATTGGCCGGTTGTTAAATTTTATTATTGCGTCATCGAGTTATAATTGAATATCTAGTGAGTATTTATTGCCAATAAAATCGAGTTTATATTTTTTTGGAGAGCATCTTAAAGTGAGAAAAATTAAATGAGGTGTGAAGAAAAACGTTCGTAAAAGAAAAAAATATATAAAAAATCTCAAATTAAACAAACTATTTGTTATTCCCAGTCACGCAAATTCATCAAATCTAGCTATATTTTTAATGACAATTCTATAAAATAAACTCAATTTTTTCCAGAAATTATTTCAAAAATATTTAAAAGATTGTTATAATGGTCGCTCTTCACCATCCTACAACGATTACTGAACGAAGAACATAGTTTGTTCTCCTGGAAATTCGTTCTGTTTCTGTAAACTCGCTCGCTCAACGTTGAATAACTCGATGTTGTTCATGTACATGAAAAAATGATAGATGGCTTTAATTGGCGACTTACGTGTGTTGAGTATTAGTGTTTAAAATGTTATAAAGTTTAATAATGGAAATCGAACGAGAAACGACTCACACATTATTGTCAACATTATTTTTATTGTTTGATTGTAATTAAATATATTTTAATGAAATAAAATAACAAAACTTGAAATTGAGAATTAAAATGTAAAGAGTAACGCAAATGATGATAATGTATAAAAGTATATATGTAGTGTTCAAGAGCATAAGGCGTGTTAAAGTGACTACTCTATCAACTTGTGTGCTCGCCTATTATATACTTGGAGACCTTGCTCACTAGAGCTTAACTAGTTTTCTAACTCCTTCTAACCAGTCAGTCTCTATTGTATGTCACTTTATTTTTATTATACAAAATATTATATGCTCTGATTAATTATACGTTATATTATCTTAAATTAAGCTGCTTTATGTCTGTAAATTTGCTGTCTCGTCGTGAACTACTTTTATAACTTAACTATCATTTTAATTGCTTATCTACTTCGACACATATACTTGCTTATACAACCTATATTGACTTATACCTCCTAGCCTAAATTATCACCTACATAATAATACTTTTCATTTAGAGGAATTAAAATTCGCAAAACCACAAACTTGGATAAACTGATTTTTGGCTACAACAACAAACAACAACTACTACAACAACAAAAACAACAACAACATTACAAAGCAAACAATTATTATTTGTAATGCGAACGTATTCTACACTATTATAAGAACTTATATAGCGTTCTTCCATGATCGTCACGAATAGCAAATAAAATCGTTAATTAAATAAGGATAAAGAGAGAGAGAGAGAGAGAGAAAGAGAGAAGAGAAAGAGATACAGTCAGAGTCAGAAAGAAAAATATAATCCCTGTATTGTATATTTATATACATAGATATTAATAAAAGCTAATACAAGAATAGTGGAATGGATGATTGGATAGAAATTTTCCTAAAACTTGTTTGAATTGATGGCTTTGAATATTTTGGTAGTAGAATATTGTTTCAGGCTGAATTGCCATTACGTATGCGTTTCGTACATTTATTTATCAATGCCTTTTTCGGTTGCAATTTGTTTTTCAAACTTTCAATTGGAATTTGAGTGATGGTGCCTCTATTATCGATGCTGATGCTAAATAATTCAGTAGTATACACAGAGACGAAAAATAATTCAAATAATGTTTTTCTCAATTTTAATTAAACTTAAACGTTCAATTAATTAAAAATTTGCAGACATCTGAAATACATCACACACACACAACGCATGTACCCACAAGTATATTTTATATTCACACACACACATACACACACACACACACACACATAAGTACACACACACATACACAACACGCATTAACTTTTAGCAATTTTTACATTCGCAAAAATTTACCTTCATCCAAATTGTAGAGATCTATGTTTTTGATTCTTGGCAATGATGACGACGAAGATGACGTTGTTGAAGAATTAAACGACTCTACATAGGGCGATGACGACGATAGAGATGAAAAAGAATTTTGAGAATGTAGGGATGATGACGAAAACGCAGTTGAAACTGGAAAATAATTTTCCGACTTTTGAGATGTTTTCTTGTGGCAGTCCGCCACTGCGGTGATGAAGATGAAAATGATGCAGATGAGAATGATTGTGTAGCTGGTGGTGTTATTTTCAGTTGAGTTAATTTTTGTTGCGTTCACCATTTTGAGAAGAGGTTTCATAAGAATGGGGGCTTCGGGGAGAAATTTCACGTTTGCTGAGTACTGAAGAATGAAGAAGTAATGTGCAATGTGATGAGGATGGAAATTATATTGATGATGATGATGATGATGATGAGGATGAGGATGATGATGATAATGATAATGATGGTGATGAAGATGATGACGAAGAAGAAGAAGAAGAAGAATATGATGACGACGACGACGAAGAGAAATATTCGATGGTGAATTTGGGAGTAGTTATTGTATTAAATATGCACCCTAATGATGACGCGGCGATTCAATTGGCGTTCTCTTCTTTTTTGTTTTGTTGATGTTTCATTAAAAATACATTTGCTGATGCTGTTGGTGTCAAAGATGTTATTAATGTTGTTTCGGCTTTTACTTCGTTGTTGATGTTAAGTTTTTTTAAAGGTTTTTTTGAGGCCGAAGTTGTTGTTGTTGTTGTTTCTTATTCTGACGATGATATTTCAGCATGGTTTTAACGTTTGATGAATTGTTTAGTTGCTATCGATGGAGAATTAAAAAAATTTTTTTTTTTTGATGGCTTTTAAAATGTTGCTCCCAAATAATGACGATGATAGTGGTGAAGTTTAAAAATTCATTAGGCAGATGTGGTTGTGTTAGGTACCTTATTTGCAAATTAGAAACAAATTTGGTAAATGGAAAATTTTAATTTTTTTGTTTTATTGTTCGTTGAAGATGGAAGATTGACGGAAGGTTTGAAAAAATTTTTTTGGCTTTTTCTCTAAAATGGAAAAAATTAGTTGATGAAAATTCTTTATTAAAATTTTAAATGAAATTAGTTGATAAAAATTCTTTATTAAAATTTAAAATAAAATTGTTTTTTGTTGGATTTTTTTAAAATTATTATTAAACAGTTTACAATGTCTAAATATCATCATTCGTGGCCGAAAAAAATCAAAAAATCACAATTAACTGCAATTAATTTCTACAAAAAAAAAACATAACGAACTAGCTGTTGTATAATAAAAAAGTATTTATATATTTATGCAAAAAATAAAACTACGCTATAAACAAATGTTTAACTACTTTATACACATTGCACGTACGAACAAGACAACAGCAGTTCCAAGCACCTCAACCATTAGGCCATCACAATGTCATTAATGTTATAATTATGTCGTTAATGTAATAGTGTAGTGATTAGCAAAGTTTAAAAAGCCGGTAACCAATCCAATTTTCTTGAATCACGCATCAAACCGTTTAAAATATCAGAAAGTTAAAAAGGAGAGAAATAGCGAAGGAACATGAAATGTAAAGATTCGCCGGTCTGTCACGCCATGTTCTGCTGCTGATAAAGTGATTAATACAAAGTTATAAACATAAAATAAGAAATGGAAAAATAATTAAATTTAGAAAAATATTCAATTTTTACGTTTTTTTCCAAGTTGGATATTTTACAACACCTTTTTGCATTACTTAGGTACTCACGTACTCACATAACTATCGAAGAACAATGCGGTTTGGTTTTTTCCCATGGTAATGGCAAGGTCACGAGGGCCATTTGACATAGTTCTCTGAATTTAAGAAACCTCAAAACGGCAGTTGGAGGCACTTATTACACAAATGGACAACATTTAAACAAATGTCATCTAGTATCTGGTCTCAACCTGGCTATCACAGTTCTTAGTGGCAGCAGTTTTTTTTTTAATTTTCATATTAAGAAGCATCAGTAAAATTTCAAATAATTGATTTTTTAGTAATTGCAAATTTTTTCAACGTATTATTCATGTCCTCTAGATTTTAAATAGATTTCCTTCTTTCATTAGACTCTAACAAGCCTCAAAGGAACGACAGCTTGTGGAAGGATCATGTAGTTGCTATAGGGGACCTCTTTTCAGAAAATGTTTCTCTTGAATTAAATGTTTAAAAATTTTGAATGGCAAATAGCAAATTTTTTTATCTATTTAAGAGGTTTCTTTGTATATGTTTTCTCCTATCCTATGAATCTAGAACACAAGGAGGCCAAATAATAAGCGTCCTATACCTCAATTGTGACTGTCAGACGAACAGGTGAAGTGTACGAATGAATGAATAAAATGATGTATGGATAGATGGATGGATGTATGGATAAATAGTCGGATGGATGGATAGATGGATGAAGGGATGGAGGAATGGAGGGATGGAGGAAAAGATGGACGGACAGACGGAAGGATAGATTGATGTATAAATAAATGAATGAATATATAGATGAACGACGGATGAATGGATGGGCGCATAAACGAAGGAATAAAAAACGAACAGATTGAAAGTTAGATGAATAAATAAATTCACCATGTAATACAATCATTGCCAAATCAAAAGTGCAGTACACACAATACAAATCTTAAGACCGCACTGACAAGTTGTTTGCACATCCTCATCTTACTCTTCATTCAATGGTGTTTTAATTTCGTTCCTACCTAATGAAACACGTCGAAATTTTTACAATGGTGGTTTTTGAGTTTCGTTCTAAAATGATGACATTAATGTTACGTGCAAAGTGCTGTTTCGATCGTTATGACAGCATCATTGTTGGACCGACTTCTTAATATTTTGCCCGTGCTACAACGATGCATTCGTTTTCAATAAAAAGTTTTTCAAAGAAAATTTCCAGTGTCGTTTGCAATCGCACTGAGGTTTTGTTTTTGTTGACAAACTATTCAGCATGGCACTGCTTATATTGCAAATTAATTTCAAGTTGTGGTTTTTTTGTATTGATAATTAGTATGTGTACATAGTTGAAAGCGACTTTTTTATTTGAAAAAAAAGTTTGAATGTTTTGGTTATTTTAAGCAAAGATCTTCAGGCTTTCAGATGTCTTTTCCAAGTTTAAAATTGTTAAAATTTGCCCTCATGTGAAAAACATTATCCTGGCAGGTATTGAATAATCTGTACTCCGTTTGCTTGCGAACAAAGTCAATTGCAACCGTTTGCTGGGATGTGAAGGTGTTATACTTCTCTAGATGGAAACATATCATGGACTCAGTGTTTTGGATTAGTTTTTGTCTTTTGTTTAATATCTGAGTTGAAACTTTCTCTAATGACAATAACTGGTTTTATTTTCGGTTGTGTTATTGAATAAAAAATTGGATAGTTTCAATTAAATTGGTTTTCAACCTGAATAATTAAATGGTTACAAAAAAACTTTTCGATAGTTTTCCAAAATCGAACAAATAAAATTTTTTTAGCAAATCAGATTAAAAAAATAGCATTCAACTGTCGAAATATTTAAAAATAACTCCAACACTGTTGAAACAATTTTTTGCACAAAAATTGTACAATACGTGAAATATTTTTAAAAACAAAACATGTGAAAATAATTTTAACGGTTCTCGTCATTGGAAGCAATTAAACATTCGAGAGAATTTATTTTCCTCAAGCTGAAAGACTGTTTACAGAAACAATCGCGAGCGAATACCAAGAAACCGGATAAATGAATGAACGAACGAATGAACGAATGAAAAAACGAACGAACGAATATGAACGAATATTTTTTTATAACTGACGACACTTAACGCGATTCAAAAATGTAAGAGTTGTTGACGATTTTGAACACACATCTGAAATTTCATATTGCTTATTATCGTAATTCAAAATTTTTCAAAACTCTTGGCTGCAAACTATTCATTGAGTTGCTCAAAAAACTCCCATAATTTTGTAAACTATAATTAATAAAGCAGTGTTTTATCAAAAAAGCACAAAAAATATCTCTATTAAAAAATCTTCACTTACATTTCGAAAAAAATAAGTGCAACGTATGGTATTCCTTTTAGACATTTGTACAGGTTTCCTCAGTTATACATATCTATACATACAGACTGAATTAAATAACTCCTCTATATTTCAAGCACACAAAAATGAAACCTTTCATAATCAAACAAATTGAAAGTGAAATTTCCAACAAAAAAAACTTTTTGAAATTTCAAAGAAAACTACGACATTTTGACGACAAGCAGTCTGTGCACTGCGTCACACTCAAGTACCGCTTCAAACGCTTTGTAAAAAAAAATATAAAAAAAAACAAGAAAAAAATAAATAAAAATTAAAATAGAATAAATAAAAAATTGTGAATATGTAAAAATATTTTGTAACAAAAAAAAAGAAACCAGAATGATGGATGGAAATAATTTGCGGATGACGTGGAAATTGCTGAGGAGTTTATTCCTTCAAGACACACTGAGAATTATGCTTTTTCTTCTTTGCTTTGCTGATTTTGAAAAATTGAATACTTTGCAATCGTGTTTCGGCGCTATATCATTTTTTATCCGTTACGCCATAAGAACAGCATCGTATTACATCACACAATATCATATCATCATCAACATCTCACATTATCGTATCATTATCTCACATTATCCTCTCTCTCTCTTTGCCACATCATCCTCCCACGTTTGTGTAATATGAACTTCGTTTGCTTGCTATCAAATTTTTGCACTGTTTATGGCGTGGATTTTCATTATCAGTTTCATCTTTGTCGTCTGCGTTATTACCACCATCATCAAAAGCATTTTCGCAACGTCAAAATTAATGGCAATGACGTCATCATCATCTCATCATCATCATCAACAACAACATCATCAACAACGTCATCATCATCATCAACAACATCATCATCATCATTATCATCATCATCAACGCCATCATATTATCATCATCGTCATCAGTATTTTTTGTTACGGTCAAAACCGTCTGCCCTGCTATCTATTAAAATAAACAATCTCAACAATTGTAAAACTTCGGAAAAATATAATAATAACAATAATAATAACAATAACAATATAAATAATAATAATTATAATTATAAGGATAATTTTAATGGCGATAACAATGACGGCCGTAATGATGACCGTTGAATGTCCGCCTGGCTATAATCCCTCCCCAGTAAAACATCCAATGAATAAATGAACGAGTTGTATCATTTTATAGCGCTGCTTTTTAAGCCTAATGGCTGCGAGTTATAACAACGGAGAAGAACTATTCCGCGCGTTGATGTAATTGCTGTTTTTAGTACGGCCATAGTCGACGTTAATGTCAGAAAGAAATCATTGATGTTGTTTGTGTTAATGTCATGGTCATCATCTTCTTCACATCGTTACTGTTATGACCATCGTCAGGGTTATTTCATCTTCGTCGCCATTCATTTATTTTTTTTAAAAAAGTCATTACCTTTTGGCTTAATGAATTATTGACAAATTTTGTTAGCAGGTTGGCGTTTATAGTTAAATGGTTAAGGTGCCTGGCGCTGCTGATGCAATGCCCAGGTTCGAATTTAGTGAGGAACCCATGCCTAATACACTGACAAAAAGTCTGTGATACGTTGATTCACGTGTATTTATTCACTTTTGATAGCCATAGTGATATATAAAATGATATTGTTATTATTATTATTATTATGATTATTATTATGATTGTTATTGTTATTATTATTCTTATTATTATGAAACATGAGAGCTGGCAGAATTTTTCTAGCTTACTGTTTTATTTACTTTAATCGAGTTTTATGTGATTTTATGGTATAAAAATTGGTTTGAAAGTTTAAGTTAATTATGGCGAATAAATTGATATTAATTTCTCCTAACTTTAGATATTCATACTATTTAATTATAATTTTAAACCTAATTCTAATTGTAAATGCAACTAAATGTCCATATTGTTTTAAAAACTTTGTTAAACTTAGCAGCCACTCCTGGCGCTGTACAAAATCTACTTCAATAAGTTATAGTAACAATAGTATACATTCAACCCAAAGCGACAATATTTTAATATCTCCAAACTTACTCGTTGATAATTTAAATAACAATAATATTGCTAATATGGATAATAATTTAAGTATCTGTTGTTGCGGTAAACGTTGTAAAGGGAGAAAGGGCCTACGGATGCACCAACGCTCGTGCAAAATGTGTAAAAGTTTAAATTCGGCAAAACCTCCAGAAGACCCAGAAGAAAATTTAAACTTGTCGTCATCTCCAACGCACCAGCAGACGTCTCCGCCGACATCAGCATCAACAAATATCGCTACGACAGAAACACAACAACCGTCATCTCCTCCACATCAACAGGCATCTTCGCCGTCACCAACATCACAAATTATCGTCAAGACAGAAGTATCACTCCCAGGGATAAAACTACCCAAAACAACAGCACAGTGGGTAGAAGCCAATGCATACTTCCAGTCGCAAAGAACAGCCCTGCCAAACATCGTCAACATTAATAACTTCACCGCCAATCTACAGTCACTAATATACAATTATTTTGCATCAACATACGGCACATTAAAACAAAAAACAAATTCAACAACAAAATCCGACATACCAACCAACAAATTAAAATCAGAACTAAAACAACTCAAACTATTAGGCCGTAACAACCACAATTTCGACACACAAATTATCACGTTAAGCCGTCAAATAAGAGCAAAAATATCGTCATCAAAAGCATCAAAAATTGGGAAAATACTCGACATCACAAGCCAATTAAAAAATAAATTTTGGCCAACGTGTGAAAAACTACTCAAACCGACGTGTAGTTTGCTACCTATGTTTAACGTCGAAAAATGTAAAGAGTTTTTCCACAACATTTTGAATGATCCATGTCGTAATAAATACTGCTTGCCAAATTGGATTCAAACTTTGCCAAACCCATCAATTGCTTGCAATATCAAACCTCCAACATATAATGAAATATTCTCAATTATCCGAAAATGCAAGTCGAGAGCTTCTCCTTGCCCATTGGATCAGATGTCAATAATTATCTTGAAAAAATGTCCAATACTCCGCACAATCCTTCATCAGTTACTGGTTGAATGTTGGAAAACATCGTCGATCCCTTCCTGCTGGAGAAAAGGTCTGACAATTTTAATTCACAAAAAGGGTGACGCCAGCGACCCATCAAATTTCAGGCCAATAACACTTCAACCAGTATTCTATAAAATCTTTTCAACATTCATTAACAATAGAATATACAAATATCTTGATCAAAACAACTTAATCAATAAAAACATACAAAAAGGATTTTTCCCCAAGGTTGACGGTGTAGCTGAACACACGCAACTACTAACTCATCTACTAAAAGATGCCAAAAGACACCAGAGAACAATCATTGTCACCCTCTTAGATCTACGCAATGCATTTGGTGAGGTCAGCCATGATCTAATTCCATCTGTTTTAAGCTACCATCACATCCCAACCAAGGTCAGCAATCTGATTAGATCAATATACGCCGATTACTCGATAAATGTATCGGTGTGCAACAAACTAACCTCACCAATCCAAGTTAAACGAGGTGTTCTACAGGGTGACCCCGGTTCTCCTTTACTATTTAACCTTTGTTTCAACCCATTAATGAAAATATTAGAAGCGAAAGAATTTCAACAATGTGGATATATATGGGGACCTACAGCCAAACTAAAATCCAGAGGTTGGCTTCAATTTGCTGACGATTCAGCAATCATCTCAAGCAGTTCAGAAGGAGCCCAGAAACTAATCGATCTTAATCAAGCCTGGTGTAAATGGACAGGTATGAAGTTAAGAATAGATAAATGCTGTACGTTTGGGATGCGAAAGCTCGATGGCAAATATGAACAATTTTTGCCTCAGTTAACAATCGACGATGCAACAATTCCCCAGATCAAAATGAACGATCACTTTACGTACTTAGGAGTCATTTACGACTTTGAAGGTAAGAACACTAAAGAAAAAGATGATTTGTACAATAAAGTCAGAGTTATGCTGCAAAAGATTGGTAGACTAGATACGACAGTTCAATGGAAGCTTGAAATTCTTAGACGCTTCGTTCCTTCTCAATTATCATTTGAACTCCGTGCCTACAATATATCACTGACTTGGATTGAAAACACTCTGGACCGCCTCGTGACAGAAACGGTAAGAGAATGGTTATCTCTACCTATCAGCAGTTGTATCGCTGAAATGATTTCACTGCCATATAAAATTGGAGGTCTCAACATAAAAGCGTTCAAGCAGCACGCCGAACTACTAAGAATGAGACTCCGCTGGTGCTTCAAACTAAACTCCAACGAAGAAATAAGAACACTTTGGAGTGAATCTTGCAAGGCGTACAGAAATATTGACAACCTTATTCCAGAATGCAACGAATTGAAACCGGCTATGAAGGCCTTAAAACAACAACAGTACGAAGCGTATTTCAACCATGCTTCGCTGCTGCAATGCCAAGGCATCCTTGTAAATTCAATAAGAGAGCACATCAACGGTTCCGAAATTGTCCGATGGTCCAAGTCAACAATAAAACTATCTGAGGTCTTATATAAATTCACTAGAAAATACCTCATCCAACAGCACCCACAAACG